TCTTTCCATCATATCATAGAATTTTCAGTTTGAAACATATCCTAGTTAAATCACCAATAGAAATCTGGAAGCATTGAACTGAAATCTTTATTAAGTATGGGACTCTTAAATAGTACGCATCCATGCAAATATCAAATCTCTAAACCACTGACTTCACATTTGCTCGAGAACAAGGTTATTGGGTTAGTAATTGTAGAATGACATCTTCAAACCATAATCTTCCCGATTACTGCTTATACTCTTACTACATCTACCACTACGGAATTCGAATCGACAACTGCATCTCTGTGCTAATGTGGTTTGGCAACTCGAACTGATGTACGTACGTACGAAGTTCCACGTTGTTACTGACTGACTGAGAATAAATATCGATTGATATATCATTAATAAACACTAAATGTTAAAACATATTATACGTTATTATCAAAACAATTAGTTGACATTCCCTTACGAAACTACACTGTTAGTTACTCATTTAGCTCAATCACACTTAATTACAGTATTTATTGATGAAATATTTGACAGTTTAGTTCACAACTAAAGGAATAAGATAAATAATTACCTTTTAAGAGTCATTAACAGAATGAAATGATTACTTTTGTACACATAGTTCCCTTTATTATTTTAAAGAGAGCAAGAACAAAGATTGGTGCAGAATAATATGAATTCATTACTTTTGTGCTATCTAACTTTTTTTTATAAAGAAAAAAAACAATAAAGATTTACTGAAGTTAGAAAAAAAGGCCTAGTTCATTTATTTCTAGGTAAGTTGTTCATTTCAAAAAAGAGAAAGAAAAAAAAAGAAAAGAAATGGCCCATTATCGTTTAAGTTAAACTTTTATCACCTTGAACATCAACTTTGCGCTTTACTAATTTTTAATAACGTTTACTAAATTGCCATCATCATTCATATTATTATTATTATTATTATTATTATTATTAGTAGTAGTAGTAGTAGTAGTAGTATGAGTAGTATGAGTAGTAGTATTTAGAACTTGACTGGATTTATGTATAAAATCAAATTAATATGAATACAATTATAAATAACTTGGCCTAAAAGTTAAATGAAATGACCAAGTAAACAAATGAGTCAACAACATTGATTATTAAGAGTTTTTATTATTATTATTATTCTCAAATCTATGCATAAACTATATGCTTGAATAATTTAGCTTATTTAAATCTGTCAGGTCAAATTTGAACATTACCAAATTCAATCAAAATGTCTATTTATTAATGAATTTAAAAGAATTAATAAGTTATAATACATAAAACTTATATATTAGTGTTAATGAATTAAATATATATATATATATAACTACTCATTTGTATAGATCCATTAAAAATAGTTTGTGATTATAGTGAACTATAAGAAGTTTTCAATTCAATTTATATTTATAAAGTATATAAGTAGTATATAATGTGAATAGCTTGATTTATTCTTTTTGTGATTAGCGACTTTTTAGCGAGTTAGTTTTCCACGGGATGAGGTCGCTAACCCCATGCCCAACCCTCCTCCTATATCCGGGCTTGGGACCGGTAGTAGCTACAGAGGGGCATCAAGCGGAGATCGTATAATTTTCAGTCTTGCACGCAGATCCTAATCTCTAGAGCAGTCATAAATGTACTGTCCTTATGCCTACATTCGAAGCAACGAACTAACCACTAGACAGTAACCAATGTTGTTTTAAATCTTCGAATCCCATAAAACAATTTTAAACAGGATGGTACTTCAGTTGAATATATTTAAAAGTTAAACGCTGTAACAATCCGTATCCTAAAAGTGTAATCGATCTTTTCTGAAAGCTACTCATGTAACAAACAGATGACTGAAGCATTAACTGATAGCGTTTCTAATCAGCACAAAAGTATCAGCTTCTTTGATTTTCCAAATGTGACTTTATAATGAGTGACAACGAAGGGAAAGTCTGAATATGTATTCAACCTAATAAACCATACGAAAATATCCAAACTTATTTGAAATTAAGAATGAATAAAAGAGCATAAAATAATCATATACACGAAGTTCCTAAACACTCTTGACTGAAAATAATTTCATTTAAATTATACTACTTACTAGTAGTTTAGTGAATCTCAGTAAATATGGAGACATTTCGGATGGTCGCAGCATTAATTTCTAATATGAATAGTCTTTGGGACTCATAACACTCAACCAACAATAAAACATGTTTGCATTAATTTGTTTAACGACTAAGTACTATACGAAGCACTAGAATATACTAAACGTGTAATTAGAATTCGGTTAGCATAAAACGATGTGTAATGCCCTAGAATCAAATCCCATCTTTAGGATTGTGTTTATTTCACTTCAAATACGTTCTAAAGTTGATCACCAATAAAACGACCTTCGCTGCTTGATCTCCTCGAACCGCCCTTATCTGCCAAAGATTTTCTTAATATGTTCAGTTTTGAACTCGTTTTACTGTACTGAACGTTTAATCAATAACAAACCACGAAAAAATAGTACTCAGTTACTAAACCCGGTTTTCTTTCAGTGGAACCGGGGACTCAACACACTATTATATTCTTGACTCAATGAGCGATTCCAACCCATGATATTTTGCGGTTATTCTGAAAAGCTCAGCTGTGTTTTGTAGAAACTGCAAATCTCCAAATATAATATGCTGTTTATAGCCCAACTAATAAACTCGTTCTTAGATTTTTCAATTGACGATTGCTGGCATATTGTTGCGGTCTATAGTTCGGTTCAATCACTATTAACGAGTCTCATAGGCTTCGGTGGGTTGAATCACGGCAAAAACTTAAAAAGCTCAGTTGGGTCTGGTCAAATTTCTTTACTTGTGGCGTAAGAACGAACGAGCAAACTGAGCGACAGTTCCTCCAGATATACTCCATGGCCACGAAACGCAGGCGTTAAAAATGAAAAGCATTAGTAGGTCATTAGTCTGCGAACCATTATTTATGTTTTGTGACCATCAAGTGAGTAATTATAAGGTTATACGTTAAAGTACTAGGTAAGGTAGGCTAGTAGATTCAGGAATTAGAGAATAGTTATCAATTGAATTGTCTAGGAAATGTACTACGCATTCCATATGAACCCCTACTTAGACGAGACGCATTCTGGTGTATTAGTGAGTTAGAAGGAAGTATACACCTCACTGGCCTTAGGCCTATTACACACCATATTAAAATTACGTTATACCTTTCTGTCTTCACGTACTATCTCCTTATACACAATCTTTCTTTTATATATTACTACTACTATCTTTTGTGCTAATGAGGAATGGCAACTTGGCGGATGAATACATGTGCCTGGTCATACGTTGTAGCTGACTGACTAACATTATCCTCTTGCACTAAAACTAATGAATCGCACCAATTTTGGTGAATTCACAACTCCGCTTTCTTATTTTGCACTAATTGACTTGACAGAATTTTACGTAGATACCATTGATAAACTGGAATACATTACTTCACTTGATGGCTATAACCGGTAAGTTGTTTTGCTTGAATCAAATACTTACAAATGTGTTTATATGAAATTAATTGTTGGTGTTTATACTATTTTCTTTTGATACATCCAAACACTACCCCATTGCGATTTCACAGCCAATGTCATGTCCATAGCTTTCTACATGCATCGATAGAATCGACGCTATGTTATGGCGTCAAACAGCTAGCTAGCACTCACGTAGACGTAAATGAAGATGGCAACCACTCTGTCTCAGTTAGTACTTCTCCTCTTATCTCGTAGACCATGTTTTGCCTGTCTTCTTTTATTGTTTATCATATGGCTTGTACACTATTAATTGTAAAGATTTTATAAGCTTGTGGGCTATACCTATTCCTAAAAATGCTTGACCTGAGAGATATTCTTCACATAAAGTAGACTTATCGACTTTCTAACTTTCGGTATTGATCTTGTACTTCGTGTTCATTTTAACAGATATTTCCCGATTAAGCTATGGGGATAAACACTTTTCTAAAATAAATCATTACATATTTTCGTTTAATGAGTGTTGCAATATGCATTCAATCTATTGAACCGGTTTATGCAGTATGTTTTGAGTCTGATTCGACGGGACAAGATGACATTAATCAGGTCAATATCTTTTGTATTAATTCAACATGAATTTAGGTCGGGGTGAAGGTGAAAAATTCGTTCAGTCTGACATTTCCTTATATCGATTTAGGATAAACTTTGTTCTACATGGAAAGTGTGAACTCTCGTTCAGTGTGACCAGTTTATTCCATGTTAATTCAGGTGAGTTACATTTATTGCGTGCATTTTACAGCAACAGTACGTATCCCCCCATGTGATACTACAAAGTGTGTGTGAAGTTTGGTACATAAATGATTAGGTACTTGTTTGATGTTTGGGGGGCGTCAATCAATCGTCAATGCGTTGGAGATGTTCGATCTTCAGAAATCACTTGGTAAACCCGTTTTTGCAATTTCATTACGCACATGTAAACTTCACATGTTCGTGCCAAAAGCCCCCACTTCTACCTCCAGTTTTGTATTTCCAACCCGGAAGGACCTTAAATGTTGTTGGTTCATTAGTGTGCTGTTTTATGACGTTTGCAAAGGATGTTTCTGTATTGTATATAAACGAATGGGGTGCGTGCTAGTTCGTTCGTGCTTACAGCCGTTTGTGGAATAAATATTTTTCCAGGCTGAATCTCGTCTTCTCCCTCTATTTAGCAGAACTGGGGTGTAGTGGAATAGCTTGGCTTGTCTTGTCGTATTGCTGACTTTCGTTCCATTCGCCAGTTCTAGCTGATTTCGTAACAACCGAGTTATTGGGTTGGCCAATATGGACAGAAGCTTCACGACTGAACTATCAACCGTGAAAGACACAACGACAGCTTAAAAATCCTTATTCTCAATTACAAACTCATTCGTGTACAATACAGGATACAGTCATAACGTTTCCAATTCTACACACTATGAAGTATGAAATTGGGATTAAATAAATTTATCAGAGGTAGGATAAAATAAATCAAAAACAAAGTCCATATAATACACATATAATGTAATTAACAATAAAAATTTTCAATTACACTGAAATTAGTTTAGTAACTTGTATATTTCATTAAAATTCTTGTTCTGCTTCCAGCGTTCTTGATGCCGCCAACTGACGAAAACGTTCAATAACATGTTCAACAGGATGCTCACCATGAACTTTGTTATCCCGTGTACGAACATTGACAGTTCCATTAGTAATTTCTTTTTCACCAACCACTATTATGAAGAGAAAAAACGGAAATGAATCATAGCAAAAGTGAGTAAACGAAAAGAAAGAACTGTCAAATCATTTAAATATCATATTCTATCATTTAAGGACGAATCAATCAGATAACGAGTCATGGATTTTGGCGCGAAATCCATTCATTCATCCATATGGGTAAATATCATTTTAGTATTATAGTTTATATCAGCTCGTGACGGGCACCATAGCTCTAACTCGCAACCCTAAGTTTTGACTCAAACCTCAAATCCTGATTCCTCACAAGCTAATTTATGACTTCATTTAGACCCCAGTAAGTAGTTTCTTAAGGTCATTCTAATATCGCTCAACTCTAAGATCACCCATAAATTACAGTTTCACTCGATAAATTATAAAATTAAATGTTTACACGTACTCGACAGAAAAGCCTGAAAACTAGAATATATTCTAATCAAACGAGGGAGAGTAATTACGCCTTCCTGGAGAGTATAAAACAGCACAAAAAGTAGGTTTGTAGGGGGCTTGTTTTCGACTACCTTCAATCACATCAACACCAAAAATATCTTCGAAGTACTGTTTTCTTGTTATGAAACTAACTATGAATTCCAGATTAGATTTAGGCACAATTTTCTATGGTAATAAACTGATCAATTTGACTGAACTAATGAACATTCATCAAACACATGCAAGTATGCAAACTTGTAACGGAACATTTCACAGAGAGATCCAATATTATTACAGTGCTACTTTTAAAAGAAAACTTCTACATCACAAAGTAGATGCTAAAAAAATTTCAGAAGGGCAATAAAAGATCTTCACAATCAAACCATCATTCAATTTAGAGAACAGAACACAGAACCCCTAAAAACTCAACAATGAAATTAGTAACACTAGTGTTGCAAAGAGTAATATCCTATCCCAATTCCAGTATACAAAACTTTGAAGAAGGATATAAGACAGAATTCAGTGAAGAAAATTTTCTTTTCTACAATTTCATTAGTTTAAACTATCCAATAGTATTCAATAATTAATAGTCTATAGGAAGACAGGAGAGTGTTGTTTGATTTTTGTAAACATTAAAGCAGTATCGTGCTATAAATTGTTTCTATTGAAGATTTCAACATTTTACCAGTAGAATGTGTGTCCACAGTTGTCCAAACACGAAGATAAAACATTTCAACTTTTTCCTAAAAACTATTCAACACCATTCTATTTTACCGTAGACTACTATTTTTACCAAAGAAGTACGAGTGTACAGTTTAAGCAAATGAAATCGTCGAAAAGAAAATCTTCACTGAGTTTTCTTTATATATCCTTATTCAATGAAATAATGGGTCATTTTTTGTCATACATAAGACTTTACTCTTTACAAGAAGGAAATATACACTAATCAAAAATGATTAATACTTACCTAGAATAAAATTATTTTGAAGCAACTGTCCATTTCTAATTTTTTTATTTAAAGTACGACCAGGATCTGTGTCAACAGAAACCATAAAGCCAGCATCATGTAAACGATTTTTTACATCTATCGCGTATTCATCACATGCTGAAACAACAGGGACTACTAAAACTTGGCGGGGGCTAAGCCAAAATGGCCATTTTCCTGTGACAGTACAAGAGAAAAAATATGCAAAATGAATAAAATATAGGTGAATCATAAATACAATAAATTATAACAGAATATCCCGTTTTTCCCTATGATATGGTACATACACATACAATATTGGGACAAATGGAAGTTCAAAGAAAGCGTAACTTTTGGGGCTATTTTATTTTACGGGTTACTAGGACCTAGGTACATCCAGCCGGGGAGTCCCAAACAGAATAAAACCCGCTTTCTCGGTTCCACCGCTAGCCACTATCCATCCCTACTTACAATGCTTGTGGCTTGATGGCAGTATCAAGGCAATCGGCATAGGATCCATATATTCCAAAAGAGACTGATCAATTAGTGCTAAACATCAATGGGAAAATCCAAACAACTAATATATATTTATCATTTAAATTGATATTGTATAATCATTAGAGAACTGAATTATTGTGCGTCTGTATTCTACTTATTGTAAGCTTCCAGTGGATCTATAAATTACTGCTGTACAAGTTTTATTATTCTTTAAATATGGCTAATCAAACATACATAATTCTCCTCCATTTACTTGCACATTTGGCGTAGTTATACTAACTTTGTAATTTCATAGTCATATCGATGTGCGACCCAGAAAATTAATCCATATTATTGTATTCGTTGATTCATAAAAGATATACTACTGCACCACCTGTTTTCGGAGTTGCATTATCGGACTGAAGACTAAGAATAGTAAAATGTATATGTTTATATCGATGGACCAGTGATAATCGAAATTATTTTGTTGATCCTGAAGGTTAATCGTGCTAGCCTAGGTATTTTAATGGTTAAATTGAGCAATAAGTCGATAGGTGAACTAGGATTTGCGGATTAGGAAAGAAGAAATCCGGAAATTTCGGTTAGTAATTTTTTTCCTAACTGTCGATTAAAAAAATGTAAGCTAACGAGGAGCTTTAAAATAGACAACCCGTAATGAACTGAAAACTATTCCTTCGTCTTCATACACTTATATATACATATATACAAATATTACCTCCATAAGATTCTGTGAGAATCGCTATAATTCGCTCGACTGAACCCAAAATAGCTCTATGAATAATGACGGGTCGGTGAATGTTTAAGTCAGTTTGATGATTGGTTGCTTCATGATGGTCAGATATACCATTTGTTATAGTCGATACATTATTATAATTATTATCACTCCCAGAAAGACTATCAGTTTCACTGATAGAGAAAAAACAACATGTACAGATGAAAAGTTATTAGGATATAATATGAGTAAATATGTATATAAAATAGACAGAAACGAAAAGGATACCTACAGCAAACTCTTACACAACTAATAAGTTAGATTATCGAAGAATTCAACTATGTTTTTTTCCTCACAATACTCATATCTTTAGCTCATGTAACCATTCGCAATAAAAACCTGAGGTGAGAATCAATTTGGAAACAATGTTATTCTATTGGTCTAAGAATAATTATTTCAGTAGTAGTGGAGTGACCGAGGAATCGATGGGGACAATCGATTCATTGATTAGTGCGAAATCACAAAGCGCTTTCGTAAAGTATTAAAATCGTGCAATAAATACATGATTTGCAAATTTTCCTTCGGTTGTCCTTTACACGATTATTTCAATCCTGTTGTTATTACAATTACTCTGTCTTCCTTTATGTTCTCTTCAATTCGATCTTCTGCTGACAGGCATTCCACTTCCGAATGCTGCTGCTACATATTACTTATATTTGTCGATATAAGTAGCATACACTACACTAGTCTTCCCTTTTAAAAAATAGATTTGATCCAGAAAATAAACTATACAGTTAAGAATATGGGTACAATGCATGCATTATAAGCATATCGTATGTATATTGAGAATTTAAATTTAGACCTATAGCTCTATTCTCGAAGAGCAAAATTATATAGTAACGGGATACTGTACACGCACGACAGATATACTCTAGAGGATAACAGCAGGAACAAAGAATATGTACAACAAGAGCAGATTGATTTGAAATCTCACAAACATTTACGTCAACGATGAGAAATCAATGGAATAGTGAATAATACACAAAGAATTTGAAAGCACGTAACAGTTAAATTCGAGAAACACAAAAGACTTGACAAATATGATATTCTATACTACGTTGAAATAAATCAATATAAATATTTCAGTCCTATAGGAAGTAAATAAGAATTTGAAGAGTACAGTAACATCTCAGACTATGATACTGTATATGCGTTAATGAAGAATGTCAGGACCTTTAAGATTAGAGATACTTTTGTCAACAAATATCCACTAACACAAAACAGATTTAAAATTTGCTGTCAATGTAATTTCAACTACCTTAACTTAATAACAACAACTAAAAAGAAAAGCTTGACAAAAGCATTAGTTACATTGACATCGATAGAAATTTAAGGTCAAATAATGATTTAAAAATTATTCCAATGAAGTATAAGAGGATATATTAGAATTTAAGCAATAATTTCTAGCGTGATCTTATGTGAGTGACTAAAACTGAATTAAGCAAAATGCGATTGTTGAAAATTGTTAATACCCAGTTGAAAGTTAAGCTCATTAACTAATGATTCGGTATTCTTTATAATCACTACGTCATTGAGACATTAGATGAAGTGCAGTGAATGAAACAATTTCAGATCACCTATTCAATTATGTTACTTATAGTAGACGTGTTTATATTGTTAAATATTGATAAAACGATTAAGCCTATTAAAGTTTCCAATTAGCCTACGATAAATTCTTATCTATGAACGACTTTAAGATTTTTCTGGTATAACGCAACAAAAAAATCAAATAGACCGAACATTTGACACGCAATAATAAAAATAACACTGTGGTAATTCAATATAACTAGAGAGGACGGGATAACTTTAAATTCCGTACAGATGTTGAACGACGAACCAAACCTTAAAAATGCGACAACAACCAATGAGATGATAACAGCAAAGATCATTACAGAAGTATGACATAGCAAAACGTCATAGAGATTATTTCTCTGAAGAACTGACACGTAATAACAAAGAGGAAGGCTGGATAACTTGAGTTGTCCTTAGCATATGTGCTTGTTAGGGAGAAAAGTTCCTCGAGAAAGTCCAGAGGGACACTTAAAGAGCTGTAAAGCACCTTATCCAATCAGTGTTGAAGAGATGTTCCTCAAAAACATATAGTAAGTGAAGAGTCATGTGTAACATTTCTGACTGGAAAATTACCAATGCTGCGAATATATTTAGTACGATTCCAGAATCTCCCAGAAGCCCAGAGCTATCTGAAACACTATGAATATCCTCGACTTTCTCTACATGAACTAACCTTGGAGTAAAGCGTTCTTCTCACATTCCGATCCTTTACTCTAGCGCTCAATTTGCCGTGTAGACTGATAATGGTTATTAGAAGTGTCAAGGAAACTTATTCGAGCTTTCATTTAAGAAGACATATTAGTCCCATAAAATTGAGACATTTATACTGAGACAAATCGAGCTACGTATAGAACTTATTTGATCAACAATTATTCTTCATCATTCGTTTCTATGACACACGTACCTAATTCCGAATGATAATAACATGCACAAGAGTAGCTAGAGATATTAGGTCGTTTGTGATCTCTCTTATCTTTGCATTAAAAAAAACACGACACAGTTACACTGTCATCTTTAGATATTTGATATATGCATAACAATTGTAGATAATATGATGTAATGATTTGAACTGTTGCACATATGTACCACGTTCTATGTTGCCGAATGACTAACTGAATGAATAATACAATAAAATCACTAACTGTATCTACACCCAAATAATTGCTAAAACTGAAATCATGGTGAGAAAAACTGACTCATTATTGATTGAAGGTAGATAAGGCATATATCGCATAAGCAAGGTTAAATCTGATTGGTAATTGAAAATCTAATTGATTTGAACTGTTGCACATATGTACCAGGTTCTGTTGCCGAATGACTAACTGAATGAATATTACAATAAAATCACTAACTTTATCTACATACAAATAGTTGCTAAGACTGATTCATAATTGATTTGAAATAGATAAAGCATACCTCGCATAAGAAAGATTAAATCTGACTGGTAATTGAAAATCTAATTGTATTGTTGCACATTGATGCCGACGACGTAAAGCATCCATTATGGTTATGTCGATTTTGGGTCCATAGAATGCACCATCACCAGGATTAAGTTCCCATTTCAGACCAACTTCATCTAAACTTTCTTTTAGTTGCTAACATAGACAAGCAAGCAAACAAACAAAAAAGAACCAATATATGCGCACACTTCATGGATTAAGGATATATATATATACTCTCGGTTATTGGTGTTAATATCTGTTCAGACTCTTGTCATATTGCGCGGATTACCTTGAAACTGTCATTAACTCACAAATATTTTAGGCAGAGCTGGACAGTAGTTAGCAATGGAATCCAGGAAACGCATACTATCACAGTTGGGATTCGTCATCTGGAAGTACCTGCATCCAAGTATATTATTCAACCCGGGACTCAAACCCACTGCCTTTCGCCATAGACACCAATGTGATATCCATTCACCAACTGATTCCAACAACCAGAAGATCTAAACCCTTACTACTGAATGATGATTCATTCCCGTTGAACAAACCAATAGTTATCTAGACTCAGTGAGAAAATGGATAGAATATATGTTGGTGTTTAAAGTGAAATGTATTAACTTTGAGTCCCTCAATGAATATCAACACTTGGATGTGAAAATTACATCCAGCTGATGAGTCCCGAATGCGACGAAACGTGTGTCCTGCATTAAAGTTGTAGCAACTATCCAACTCTGCTTCAAAACACTTACACATACATTATTTTGATTGAGAAAGTATATACGGCCTTTGAAATTGATGTCAGAAACAATTAAAATAGATAGAATTATCTTTTTTTCTGATAAATTGTAACGACACAAAAATGCTGAATAAAGGAATGACCGACAGTCAAGTAATTCGACTGAATAACCTTTAGATAATACAGGGATTATGAATTTGAATTTTACGCTACTGTTGATCCGTTGTTTAAACTAACCAATTTGTTGTTCGAAACAATCTAATGTTAATGAATGCTGGGGAAATTTAATAATTTTTCAACTAGAAATTATTATAATGAATATACTTAGGCATAGGGTATTGAATATATGAACATTTAATTCTTTACTTTATTTAAGGAATACTTCTGGGGAAAATACTGTATATATTCTTAAAATTCATATTGACAATATCAAAAACATTTGAAAATAAGTTTTATCCAATTGGGAAGGAAAGCTATCGACTGGGAAAAATTACTCACATTTATGTGTATGAATGTTTCGACAACGAACTTTGAATGCAGTCGATAAAATAGTGAACTTTTACTGTAAACAATCAACTCGATAGTGTGGATCTATGATTATTCCAACATAAACTACTACTAGCGCGTGATGGTAGTTAGTGTAAGAGTAGACTGGAAGAATGCTAGGAGCAGCAAAACAAAAGTGTGGCATCAGTACATTTTCATTGAAGTCACTGTTAATTTCATTGAGCCATATTTATAGGTGTTGACTACTTGGTTGGTGCAGATGAATTTACTTCTTGTCTTTCTTTAGAACCTGAGTCCCGAAGATTATTTTTACGATTCTATTATATTTTTTATAAATAAACTTTTCTACTACTACTGATGCTGTTACTACATCTACTACTGTGAAATTTGTCTTGAAATAATTTTATCTCGCTGTTATAACATGGTATGACAACTTGGATCGATGTACATGTGTGCCAGGTTCTATGTGGTGCATGACTGACTGACTAACGTGTATAAGACTTAGATACAATTGTTCAGGAATCTTGCAGAATTCAGACAACATTTAAAATCAAGTTGTGAATCATAAAGAAACAAGGACATAATGCAACACAAAAATCACTTGTCTTAAAGCCCTCTTCTTTCATTAAAATGGAATCACTGGAAAGTTAACTTATTTTGTATACACTGGATATAAAACGCTGGAAAACAATACCTTTTCAGCACGATCCCACATTTCAATTTCACCCATGAATTTCTCTGGACGAGTAGATAAGTATAATTCGAACGAGAAACCAAATAAACCGTACACATGACCCAAAAAATCCAAACAACTCTTGATTTCATCTTTAATCTTGAAAAAAATCAAAGAAGAAAATAGTCATTGCGATCGTCACCAATTTTTTTAAACTTCCACAGATTTTGAATCAATTCATATGACAAGAGTCTATTAAAAAAAGGTTCAAATATTGTATTTACATATAATATGAACAATTCCAAAAGGATTCGTTACCTGATCTTCACGACAAAATATATGCGCATCATCCTGTTGAAAACGACGAACACGAGTAAGACCAGATAAAGCACCTGAGAATTCATTTCTGTGTAATACACCAAAATCAGCAAAACGCAATGGTAACTCTTTATGTGAACGAATCTCTTTCGCGTACATTAAACAATGACCAGGACAATTCATAGGTTTTAAACCAAATGTTTGCTTCTCAACTTCAATTTTAAATAAATTTTCCTAAACATTAAAATAAATGAATGGAACAGTAATAAATTTCATAGACTTGAAGTGTGCGCTTTTTTCAAAGAAAAAAGAAATTGAACTATAAAAATAACATTATACAAAAAATGTACACTGATATAGATAACAAAAAAAAACAATAAAAAACTTACACTATAATGTTGCCAATGTCCACTTTGTTCCCATAATGCAGAATTATAAATATTTGGAGTGATTACTTCTTGAAAACCACGTTTCCAATATTCAGAACGAATAAATGAAACTAATGTATTATAGATATGTGCACCAGCAGGCAAGAAAAAACAACTACCAGGAGATAATTCATGAAAGAAAAACAATTTTTGTTCAACTCCAAGTTTACGATGATCACGTTTAGCTGCTTCTTCCTAAAGTAGACAAAAGAATAATCACAGAAAATATAGTCTATAACTTCAACTAATAAATATGATAACTGATAACGGTAGACTATGTACTATGTCCTTATATGCAATCTTTCTTTTATATATTGTCACTACTGAATTAACTACTTCTATGAACCCGATGTTCATCTTGTTGTGCTGAGGTATGGCAACTTGGACTGATGCATATATGTGCCTGGACCTACGTTGTAGCTAACTAACTGACTGAGCAGGTACGAATGTATCCTGGTCCAACCCACAGTAAGTACTACATCTCATATCAGCAGAGATAAAGAAAACTAACACAAGAATGAACAAGGAGAAAAAAGACGAGATAATATCAATTGTAACGTAATGTTAGACATGAAATATGGTCCAAAATAAACAAATGATATCAAAGAATCAAAATACAGAATGACACTTCATAATGTTGAGAGAGAGCATCTGCCCTGCTAACAGATTTTAAAATATGTTAGTCAATAGCTCCAACCAATCGATCAATTATGGACTAGATATTATACAAAGGATTCTAACTAGGAAGTCTATACTTACTGATCTAACTCAATCTAATAGTAATTATTGCAGGTGCTGAGGATACAGTTTAGTCTTATCCCTCCTATCTTTCCTTTTAACCTAATCTTACGACAGCCATCGTTGCACGTTAGTGTAGATACTAGTTAAGTATGCATAACACATGTCTTAACTACCTAAGTCGATGAAAATGTATGGCCACAACGATTTGACTTATCAGCATATTATTGGATGAACAATGAAAGAAAAGACTAACTAGTACTTATTAAATAATGGGAGTTTAACAGACTAGATTCTTGAATTAATGGTCTAGAATGCGATCAATAGTCTTCAACGGTCAGTTATATAGAGTCCATTAGTTTTAATCTCATGTATAAAAAACGCCTTAAATTGAATGTTCTAGTTAGAATAAAAATAAAACCTTCGATAGTAAGGAGTACTTAAAATGTAAAACACTTCAATTCGAATTTCATAGAATGATTATTCAAAATAATTCTTATTTTATAATGACTAAGAACAACCATGAATTATTTATGTCACACAAGATCCATTCTTTCGCTATATCTGATGTTTATTCTAACTAATTGAATTGAATCATGCTGATATGGTTCGCTTACACTGGATAACTCGCGACTAACTAAGAAACAAAACAGAGCATGTTGGCTAAGTATAATATGACATTCAATTTATTCCACAAAATCGATGTTAATGATGGGAATGTTATACCGTTGCACAGGTTCTTAAAATAGTCAACATCGTCTTGATTCTTTAGGTAAGCTCTTAATATTAGTTTGAATTTTAACACTAGTGCGAAGATTTAAAGCTCTTTAATAAAGTATATGTTACGTATGCACAACCACTGCCGACATCTACGAGATGCTTGATAGTGTAGTAGTAGACTGGTAAAAACTGATATGGAGAGTCATTCAGAAGTAGCGTAATGAAAACGCTAATAGTTGGCAATCAGAAATCCATGATTATAAATAAAAAATGAATTCATGATTTAGTTAAAGCTTGACCATCATGGAAAACCTGGAAGAACTGGACAGCCGTTTCATTCTAGTGCGGGACTCCTCAGTAGTGGGTATCCACGATACCGCTCGCAAGATGAGAACCCAGGCCCTGTTGATCTCGCGCGCAAACACTTAACTTCTAGACCACTGAGCCGCCATCCAACGGTGTTAAAGTCTGACTTCAATCAATCCATGAAATCGCGCCAACGTCCACCATTGTCTTCAGTGAGTTACTATCTCACAACAAACCCAGTTAAACTTCACTGAGGTTAAGCATTCGCGTGAGAGATCGACAGGTCCTGTGTTCAAATCCCGTGAGTGGGATCGTGGATGCGCACTGCTGAGAAGTACCGTACTAGGATGAAACGGCTGTCCAATGCTTCGGGTTTTCCATTGTGATTTAGCTTTAATTGACTTATGAATTCAGCTATTAATTTACTAAAATCTCCACTAAACCTCCTTTTGATAAGAAAAGTTTACTATAAAAACAAAATTAATTTAGATTATTATCAGTTTACCTGAATATGTTTCCATTCTTTCAAACGTTTTGGATCTGGAAATGAAACACCATAGACACGTTGTAAAGTTTCCGCGTCCGTGCGACCCTCCCAATAAGAGGAACTACATTTGGTGACTGATAGAGCCTTTATACAACCTAGAAAAATCAATAGATAACTTATGATTGCATAAAATGTAAATGTAATATGTATATAGGGATATGTTGGAATTGTAGAATGTTGATAGATTGAATCACTAGTTGATTTTAGTTAGACCACCAAATATGATATCATGAAGTTCTATTGAGAAGTCGTGACCAATGAAGTTCAACCGTTTTGGGTGTGAGAAGGTTATCCACCACTGGTTATGGATGAGATTTGTGCAATACCGTGAATTGATTGAAATTAGACATGCAGAAGCTAAACGTTTGTGTGCAAGACCGAAGATACTGCTTTCATATCCAGGATGCGAGGTCGTGGATGCACAATGCTTTGGAGTCACATCTTAGGACGAAATGGACGAAACCGACATGCAGTGCTTCCAAGTTTTTAATGATGGTCTAGCTTACACCAATTCGTAATTGGAACTGTGAAAATTTATACATTAATCACATGTATAAACTAAGTCACCTATTATTCATTGAGTAGTCATGAATAACTGCCACTTTAATCCACGTCTATTTCTCTTCATTTCTGCCGAACTAGATATTTATACCCATCCGAAAAACTTCCATACTTCGACTTTTGATATACCACTCTTCTAAACATGTAAAGTCGACGGAATACATGCGAAGTTTAGTAAGATCTATATTTCATTGGCATTATTACTATTAATCGGTCATATGGGAGTCAATGGTGGGCACCAAACTATACTACTTCCTGAAGAAAAAAACGCTAACATTTCCATAAAATATAATCTCGAAAGTCACTGATTTCACTCTCTCTGAATAATACTTAGTTATTGTGCTTTATCAAATACCAGCTTAGAATATCACACCTAGTAAATTTTCTCACAATACAATTATGTATCAAACCTTACCACATTTTTGGCAGAAAAAACGGTCATGATCTATATGCCAGAACATCTTCAACAAAGATACTCATCTATGATAATTTTAACAATACCATAGTCCGTATTGAAAAGAAGCGAGTATTGGAGAAGCTGGAACTTTTGGGAATAACTTATGAAGAAATATTGTTTATATTTCCATAATAAAATTCTCAGATAATTGGATTGATACGTGGTAGTGAAAGTGAAGCATGATCAATCACTGAGCATGGACAAACAGTCGCTTAGCTTACTGACTATTAAACATGTGATTTCACTTCCTGTCAATGATTTTTACTCCTGACTCGCTGAGCGTGACTGCTTGTAATTGTATTGAATTAAATATTATTTAGTGTTAATCTGTTTCACTTTTCTCGGTTGTGAATTCTAGTTCTGATATAGCGTGACTAATCTTATTATTGTTGTAATTAATGTATTATGGAATTATACGTAAAAGAAATATATTTAGACAAACCGTTAACACTAGATTATTATATTCTAATATTCTAGTGAACCTACTAACTATTGTTAGATGTTTTACTATTCCTTAGTTATTGTTAATTAATTGTGTCCCATTTGATCCGTTCTCTGTCGCCTACGGCATTACTGCTTGTAAAGTATGATTTCGGGGTGTCTTGAGTTTTGATAATGGGGGTTTGAGATAAATTAGATGCCTGGAATATCGTAATAGAAACTTTTCTGTTGTATTCACTTTTTCAGACTGAAGTTTGAAGACAGAAGACATACATATCGGGAGACCAACAGGAGTTAAGATAAACTCAGTATCAGACTTAAGGATCATCGTGATAGGTCAAAGCGTGTAATTGGTAAAGTCGGGACGTTAAGCTACATGGAAATCTGTAGAACTCTAATTGGCGAGTTCTATCGCAGTCATAACAGTTCGAGTGTCAAATATACTCCAGAAAAATCCACAGTAATAACGATGAATAGTTTCCCTAAGATATTCATTAATCATAAACTTAGATGATTATTTTCAAAAAAATAAGAACAAACCTGTATGTCTAACATGTGGTCCACGGCAGAGATCGATAAGAGGACCACATCGATAAACTGTAGTAGTTGGTGTATCTATCTTATCGCGAATTATCCGACATTTGAATTCATTGTAAGCAAACATTTTCAATAAATCTTCTTTTTTCATTTCTAAACGTTCAAATGGTTGATTTTCTTTACAAATACTATGACACACATTTTCCACAACAGAGAGATCTTCTGGACCGAGACCAGAGTGTTGTCTAAAAGGAAGTATTGAAATAAAAATGTAAATTATATGAACTTTCGAATCGTTTTATTTAGAGAACGAATTATATAAAAAACATGTGTTCATATATATATCAACTTATTTAATTCACAGTAATACATAAATTCATGCTCAAACATTTCTTCAACACTTCTTCATATAGTCTCACAAAAACAATCAAAATTGACAAAGTGAGTAATTTTTGATTTACAGAAATATTTGTAAACTTACTGATTAGGGACCCACATATCATAATAAAATCCTTCCTCAACAGGTGGTCCATAGCATAAATGTCCACTATAGCAACGTTCTAAGGCTTCACCGAGAACATGGGCAGATGAATGCCAAAATACATATTGACCTTAAAATAAACGATAAATAAATTTGAAAAACCAAGCATTACCGCTGTTGTTTTAGAGATTGTTGAGTTTGAAATTTCATAGTACAGATTGACTTTAGACAAGTAAGGAAGCACTGGATAGTTAATTCACCGTAACGCCAGACTCATTAACGGTGCGCATCCACGACTCAACTAGCCATTGAACATAGGACCTGTGTATACTAAATCAGTCGTATGAAGTTTAAGCGCTTATTGTAAGTCTTAAAAGTATTAAGTTTAATCCTTGGTAAGATCCTGGACGTACATTGTTGAAGAGTTCCATGCTAAGATGAGACAGATGTTGTCCAGTATTTTTTTATATTTTCAATGGCTGTCTAATCAAATTCACTCAGTGATGCGAAACTGTGAAAGTCTACGATTCCAGTAAAATTTTTTAAAACTGCCATCCGATATTTTTGGAATTGACTAATTGGTTTAAATTTACAAAACAACACTACTTGTACATAAAATCAGCATTTTAAATGAAATGAGAAATTTAACTTGAGCCCAAAATTTATTTCATCTCTTTTTCACCCAAAACATACTAACCAGGCCCAAAAGATAATATTCATAATGATCAGTAACAATCATATGACTAAATTTTAAGTCTAATATAGCAAAATAGCAATTTATTACAATTTTATGAAAAATATCCTGAATCACATAATTAATATGAGCTAATTATCCTACTTTACTCGTTAAATGTGTAGATGGAACAGGATATGAACCCATGAAAGTTGAGCACTTTCATCGATAAGTTACAATTCGACGATTATTTTCATCCTTATAGACGAGTTAATTTCGTGTGATATGACTGCACAAAATCTAGAGCTAAACAAGATAAACATTGTGAAATTATAGAATAGACCTTAATGTTTGTCAAACCTTAAGGCCGATTAGTCTGTCCATAATGAGTCAATTTATTATATGAACAATAGATGAAATCCTAGAAACATTTTTTCCGAAATTACTAATGAATTTAGATAACAGAAAATTGGAGTACAAGTGATAGGAATGTTGTATAATATCCCTTGAATTCAGTCCAGTGGTATTTGATACCCTCAGCAGTAGTAACAATTGACCGTAGATTTTGTGAAAAATATAGATCAGTATGGTATTTTTTATAAACAGCATTAAAATCCAAGTGACGACAAAATAGCATTAGAATGAAGTATACGTTATATGACAACCGTAATATACCAACTAACAATAAACGGAATGAAAATCAACACAAAACAAAAGTACTCATGTTCTATGGAAGAACTGAAACTTTTCCAGAAAATTAAGCAGAAAACAACCTACCATCTTTGTGATCAAAATTGTAAATCTCGAGGCTAGAACTCTTTTCAAAAGGGCGTAACAAATCCCATAATTCTCCATTGACTTTAGCGATTACAGCATGTTCAGCCAAAGTTTTACTAAAAACGAAATAAATTTATAACTGATAACGTAAAAACAGCTAAATATTACCAACATAGATTCTGTCCCAAACAATGTGTATCAGCTCAAATCCCCATACCATATTAAAACAAGATGAGATGAGAGCAACAAAACAGATAGTAATGATGTAGTAGAAATGATAAAAAGAATCTCTAAACCTTGGAGACATGTTCTGAAAAGAGCATGTTGTGAAGAAGTACTGGGATTCGAGATTGATAGAAGGATAAAGATTGGATACACTACTTAAGAGTGACTGATTCTGAACCATGTCATACGAAGTCTCCAACTACTGATCATAGTTATTACGTGGACGCCAAGCAGATATTGTGCATTTACTAACATGACTCAGACCAATAGAAGTTAGTGACTGGATGAGCTAATGCCACGTTTGTGTTTCGTGGTTTCTCATCTGCTGCTTACAACCAAATCTGTATTTAAAGTTAACCCTGATGTAGTATATAGTGTGAAACAATTGACATAATTGAATGAAAAGAATAGGGATGACAAAGGTTAGCAATCATATATATATATATATATATATATATATATATATATATATATATATATATATATATACAAGCAAGAACAGGTCAGAGGTCATTTGGTGTGGATGATGAAATAATTGAAGATTTAAATGTATATAAAATAATAATTCGGTAATGGTAGAGCGATATAACAGACTACGCATTAACAAAATGACCCAAAAACTGAATTACCAAGGTAGTAATAGGTTTATTACTGTATCTTTTTGAATATGTAGATCAGGTTTGAGTTTTTTTTATCTCAATGGCTTCGGCAAACCAAAGAGAAGCAGTATTTCTTTGTCTGTTATCAATTTTGGAAGATTAAGGAATGTCAATAGTATGCCCGGCATTTTCTAATTTGTATGTACGTGCCAAAGCACATACATTGAAAGGACCAAGAAAATAACTAAAAAATGTGATTTACCTTCTACTTTGTGTTCCATAGTAAAATCGATATTGTTGTATGCTTTGTTAGACAGATCGAGTATGTTCATGGAATACTTATGATTGTTTCAGAGAAGAAATGTGACATAAATATATCTACAGTAGAGCGTAGTTCCATATACTGAGTGCTTGAGCTTCCTCTGTTTCAGGTTTCCCATAAATATATTGTCCAGAATTGAACCCGAAGTGCTATCCATGGTCACTATATCAATTTAGCGGTACAACACAATGCTAAATTGAAGTTGTATGTTTTTGGTACACAGAAACAGGAGTTGTTTGAGTTTGTGGATTCTTAAGGGCAGAAATTTAGGATATTCACATATGATGTCTGACTTTCCTTCCAAAGGGATCTTTGTGAAGAGTGATGAGACATCAAACAAGACCATGAATTTATCGGAAGCATTTAAGCTATCAAGCTTCTGTACAATTTCAAAACTACCTTCAGACTGTAGGGTGCTAGTTTCTTACAAATTGGTTCTAAACACCTTGTCATCCATCAGACGAGTTTATGGAAGAGTGATCCAAAGTATGGCAAAACCAACCTTCGAGTAAAATGCGATACAGTTGGAAAGAAAACTTGCTTCTTATACTTGCGCTTCAAAGGAGATGAAATAACAAGATGAGTTCCATGTTAAGAGTGACTTACCCATCAGGAAAACTGATTACGTTAAGGGAAACGAACTACTCGCTCAAACAAACTAAAATGGACAGGTCCTCTTTTCTCAGAGGCTCCAACTGCATTTGCCAATTTCTGTGTACGTGCCATAGCAAATACATTGGGAGAACCGAGAGAACAGTATATATCCTCATTTCCGAGCATGTCCCAAATAAATTGAGACTGCCAGAGCCAATGGCTCTCAACAGTGCAATAGCTCGGCATTAGCTTGAAACCGGGCATACTATTGACATTCCTTAATCTTCCAAAATTGATAACAGACAAAGAAATACTGCTTCTCTTTGGTTTGCCGAAGCCATTGAGATAAAAAAACTCAAACCTGATCTACATATTCAAAAAGATACAGTAATAAACCTATTACTACCTTGGTAATTCAGTTTTTGGGTCATTTTGTTAATGCGTAGTCTGTTATATCGCTCTACCATTACCGAATTATTATTTTATATACATTTAAATCTTCAATTATTTCATCATCCACACCAAATGACCTCTGACCTGTTCTTGCTTGTATATATATATATATATATATATATATATATATATATATATATATATATATATGATTGCTAACCTTTGTCATCCCTATTCTTTTCATTCAATTATGTCAATTGTTTCACACTATATACTACATCAGGGTTAACTTTAAATACAGATTTGGTTGTAAGCAGCAGATGAGCAACCACGAAATATAATGCATTCATATTCGCTTTGGCTTTATTTACTTCTGCATCTCGTTGAAGTAAAAGTGCGAATTAAATTAGTCCTAAGAGAAAAAAATTAAGTCAAGTTCACTGAACAAACAGTCGAAAAACTGAGTGCACTCACAATGAAATGCAATGAGATGTTAAGGTATTCAGAGTAACATATGTTTATTAAGGGCTGGTATCGCTGTTAAGAATCTTTAAATAGACGGAGAAAACAAGAACATAAAACGTAGTCACAAGAGGTCCGAATAAAAGTTAAAGTAAAAAGCACCGAAAAAACAGCAAACAACAACACTGTCCTACAAAACACGTGAGAGGGATATTCCGCCGTGGGGTGAAAATATCACCGAGCCCTAGACAAATCATCCGGCAGTTGGATCATTGAATATCGGACGAATCATCGATCCCTGTCAAATTCAAGGACAACTAACGCTCATCAGTTAATCGTATGTCATGGACTGGCCTATGTGGTGGGGGTTTCACTATTTTCTCTGTACTCGTTCTAACTAATGTATTTCCGTAGTAAGGTCCCTTCTGCTATACGGTTTTCAAAGCAGCCATAGCACTTTGATACGACGAAACGGCAAACCTCGTTAAGTACTGACCACGAGGTGTGACCTCGAAGTTAGTTTTCGGTCAGCATTTGGTCCCATATAACTCGAGTAAGCCCCCGATCATTCGACATAGATCAGACAAGTTAGTGACCTACACAGCGAAGTCGTCCCGTCATATCATCAGTCTAACAAATATGTTGAATTTACAGCCGTCGAATCTTTTAACGTAGGTTTGCAGTGGTTAAGCGGATGTGTCAGAAATTAACAACGCTAATTTTGTTCAGCTATCCGGAAATAAATGCTAATGAAAATAAATATGACGAAGAAAAAACGTGTGAATTTGAATTGCAAGTGTCTGCTTATAATTTGCAATATAATTAAGCGTCCTCCAACCATTAGAGACGATAAGAGGTGAAAAATATCATTCAAAATGCTTTTTTCACTGAATTATCTAGTAGGTCATTTTCACACCATAGTTAGTGTCTATCTAAGTTGAGGGGGTTAACCTATCAAAAAACTTGATTAGTCATACGTGTAGACAGTTGTCTACGCAAGATACTGAATGTCCATTAGCCGGATACCATCAACAACAGCTTACTGTGAGAGAGAATAAACCAGCTTCTAGCTGGAGAGGAAATTAGGAAAGACGTCGGAAGTGGATAAGGCATACATTACGGAAATCACCAAACTGTATCATGAGACAAGCCCTAACTTGGAATCCCGAAAGGAAACGAAAAAGAGGAAGGCCAAAGAGCACACTGTCGAGAACTGGAAGCAGACATGAAGAGGATGAATGACAACTGAAAAATGATAGTAGGAGCTTAATCGTAGATTTTCAATCCAAGTTCACATTGTGATGGTAGCACGTACCATTCGAAGTAAAACACCGCATTTTGCTGAGCTTCAACTTTCCTAAAGATTGGGTTGTCGAAATAGCAGTGATGAATAACTATACAGTCCTATATATACCAGTTTATGAAAACCACACCTATAATCTGCGAGCTGCTGTAATATTTAGTTACCTGACAGTCTTGACAGACAGAGTGAAGTTTGTACCACTCTGATTAATTACTCGAAAGTTTACTGCTTGAGACAATGCATTATAGTCCGTGGAATGCAAATAGGTTCACATAGATAACATAATAGACTTTACACCAAATAGATCAGTAACTAGTGAATTAGAGCTTAAATATAAAAAAGGGTAAAATTACGATCTTTTAAAGAATTAGATTACCTAATATCTTTGGCCACTTCCATTGGAGTAGTTTCCCAGGCTTTTCCATCCACAATAGTTCCATCTGGTAAAGTGATCTGAATAGGTGAACGTGGTTGTGAAGCAACGAAACCATCATATTCCCTTTTCAGTTTATTCCATAACTCTTCACGATGTTTAATAAACTCAGGGGGAGGTGGTAATGACTTTTCGTTTAGTGCTACAGCTAAACCACACTGGTGATTAGTGGCCTAGAAGTGAGTAAATATGTATTATGGAAATACGCTTAAATCTATAAAGATAACTAAACTACACCTACCAGACAAAGGAATTTATGCTATATACTAAGAAGAGACTAGATCAACTCTGATAAGACAAAAACTTAGCAACAAAATCCTGATTATTTCGACTGATTCGGAGACTACGAGTAAACTTGTGGTCCGAAGGCAACTGCAGACTGTATAGGAGTATGGCAAGAGAAAGTTATTTCACTTAGACAACCATTTCCAGTAATATCGTCTTCCGACGACAGGACGGTTAGAAAGGGTCGAAGCTAGGAACAGTACACCTTATCTTGCCCCACGGATTTCCATTGGAGGCAGTAAAGCCATAAGTACAGAGCTAGCCCATCTAAAACCATTCGAAAAACGTGTGAGCAGCTTTAAGCAGTCGTCGCTTGGACATTGTGATGGAAATTTCAGGTCGTCGAAACCACTCCTAGTTCGGTTACCATTTTGGGTGCCTCAAGAAATATCCTGTCATGGCACAGAGAACTATGAAGTAACAACCCCTGCCACACCTGTAACAGGAATGGACTAGCAGTGACAGTACCAAAACGTATAAATTAGGCTAGCAATTCAATGTTCGTGGAGACTTTCAATATACCTGATTAAATCTCAATCTTTCGAGATATTCCAAAATATAACCTCTTGGATACTCCATGAGATATTTTGAATTAGCAGTGTAACAAATATTGATTTGTCCTTAATAAAATTCCGGTATGTTAAAGACATTTAAGATATTGCATTCGTACGTTCAAGTATACTTTAAAAAAATGTAACAATTTTCAAAAACCATTGGGATCGAGTTGTTAGGTAAGAACAGATGTGTATGTTTAAAAATGGCATGTTTTCATGTAGAGATCTTTTTTTCAGACTTCTAGGTTAGTTTTCAAGGACAAAGAAGGCAAGCCAATCGCTGAGATTCAAGAATAGAGTAAAAGATGGATATCGAGGCAGCACTTATAGATCTTCCTATAGATGCCACTAAACCGACGACCGAAGAAATCAGGTTGGTCATCAGACAAACCAAAAGTGAAAAGCAGCAGGACCTGACAATATACGAGCCGAAGCGCTCAAGTCAGACATAAAAGTAACTGCTAACATGCCTCACAGTCTATTCAGGAAGATTTGGGAGGAAGAACAAGTGCCGACAGCCTGGGAAGAAGGATACCTCATCAAGATACCAAAAAAGATCTAAGCAAATGTGAGAACTACAGTCATCACACTACTGTCAATACCAGGAAAGGTTTTCCACAGTGTTGCTGAACCGGATGAAAGACTCAGTAGACGCCCAACTTCGAGATCAACAGACCGGATTCCGTAAGGATCCGTCGTGCACAGACCGATTCGCAACACTACGGATCATCGTTGAACAATCAATTGAATAGAACTTGTCATCATACACTGACTTCCTCGATTATGAGAAAGCATTTGACAGTGTGGACAGAACATTATGAAAACGTCGACACTATGGAGTGCCTGAGAAAATAGTCAACATCATATGGAATTCATTAGACGGACCACAGTGCAAAGTCGTGCATGGACGACAGCTGACAGTCGCATTCCAAGTAAGGACTTGAGTCAAACAAGACTGCTTACCCTTGATTGGATTATGTAGACTTCCGCACCTCAAGAGAAGCACAGAATACAATCGACAACTTGGACGCTATTAGGCGATTTGGACTTCCCATGTGACCTAGCCCTTCTATCCCATACACACCAACATATGCAAGTGAAGACAGTGTGACAGCAGCCTCTGCGTCAATAGTTTTCAACATAGACAAGGAAAAAAGCAAGATCACAAATTAAAACGTGGAGAACACCAACCCAATCACACTTGATGAAGAAACTCTGGAATAGGCGGAAACTCATATACCTGGTCAGCATCATCAACATACAAGGAGGATCAGATGCAGACGTAGAGGCAAGGATTGGCAAAGCAAAGGCAGCATTACTACAGTCGAACATATGGGACTTAAAACAACTGTCAACCATTATCTACAATACGAAGGTCAAGATAGTTCTATATACAGAGCTGAAAATTGGAGAACTGCCAAAACAACGTCAAAAAGGTATAAGTGTTTCTAAACAATTGTCTACGTAAGATACTGAATGTCCATTAGCCGGATACCATCAACAACAGCTTACTGTGAGAGAGAATAAACCAGCTTCTAGCTGGAGAGGAAATTAGGAAAAGACGTCGGAAGTGGATAAGGCATACATTACGGAAATCACCAAACTGTATCATGAGACAAGCCCTAACTTGGAATCCCGAAAGGAAACGAAAAAGAGGAAGGCCAAAGAGCACACTGTCGAGAACTGGAAGCAGACATGAAGAGGATGAATGACAACTGAAAAATGACTACTCAGGACAGACTTGGAAGGAAAATACTGGTGAGCGGCCAATGCTCCTACATGAGTAACAGGAGTACGTTAGCTTGCTGCACTGTTTTCGGGTGGGGCTAAAACCCTAAACAATTTCAAAACCAGTGGTTGGCGAGACCATAATTTATGGACGAACCAACCATCCCTCATTTAGCCCTAGTAAGTAGACAGACACTCTCACGGTCACTTTAGCGTCGTTCAATGGTCGCCCATAAATTATAGTCTCACCGAACATTTTGTGAAATAATTAAGTTGATTGATACCCAACAATAAATGTAACACATAGATTTCAACCTGAATTTAAAACTAAACAACAAACCAGAAATAAAAACCGAATGGCTGTCAATGCTAGAAGGAACTGTCCATTCATCACGATACCAGAAGTCAGTGAAAGCTCTGCAACTAAGCCAGCAAGGTCTCAGAACTCAGGAATACCAAAGTTTTCAACCGTAAGTGTGCTAGTTTTAAAGTCTCAACCGTATAGGACTTAAACCAGTTCAACCTAAATATTGTGATTAACCCTACAATTTGAATAATTTAAAGCCAAAAATCAAACCGATGAAATACCGTTGGGAATCTATGTAAATCACCCAAGCAACCAAAGGCAACGCGCAGTTATGGGGGAAAAGTGCGAAATTTCTATCTTTTTATCGCTGTTTGAAATGTCGCTGAATTGTCTACTTATCTCAGAAATTCACGCCGAATCGTCGAGTTTTCGCCCAAATACAGTGCAGAGTCAATTCCCGAAATTCCTTGAGAGCCGATGCGGAAGAGAACTGAGTTTTCTTAACTCATGAATCACTGAGGGCATGAACGCAATAATAACACTGTAAAATTTACAACACCGAATAAATAACAATCATTAATTGACGATTGTCAGACAATCATTTCAGTGTTTTTAAATTTATTCCCTAAAGATCAGTCGGTGAGATAATATTAGGAGTAAATAAAACTAGAAAGAGTTAATATTATAACGCACCATCGTGTAACGACTCAACCGCCTGTTTAACACGAGACTGGCAGCCCGGGCAACTGAATTCAACAAGGTCATACGATGCAAACCTTGACCACGAAAGATGACAATGTCCAATGTGAAGAAACTTGTAGAAAGCTTCCTTGAATTCAATAACGATATAATATATAAATTTTCCGTTGTCCAGAGACTATAGAAACCTCACTAGAAATCGTTTTTGAAATAAACCACCCTCATTTTCAGGCTGTACGCTGTTGATTAAGTGCTTTGTCGATTTCATTCCATGATTTATACAGTCGCATTCACCAGGCCCATAGCATTAAATAACCCCTCAAAATAAATAACGTTGTAAGCTATCGACATTCGTACTGAGTGTTATAATTTTATTGAACATCCAAGGCCGGTTTAATGTCCCTGAACCCTAACTAAATCATCCGAGAGACTGGCCTGTTTCTTCACTGAATGAAAGGTCACTGAACGTTCAGAAGTTTACTGAAGATCACTAAAGGAAAAGATGACCGACTCGAATTAGCCAGTTGCGTTCAATAAACTGATATATGTGGTGGTGTACGTTACAAATTTAAAAAGTTTGTGTTGACCTTAGATCAACAGTATGACGTTTTCCTTTTAAGTATAAATGATTTAAATAAATAGCCCCTTAGTTAATTACTCCTGTTACTCCTCATGTAGGTGCATTGGCCGCTCACCAGTATTTTCCTTCCAAGTCTGTCCTGAGTAATCATTTTTCAGTTGTCATTCATCCTCTTCATGTCTGCTTCCAGTTCTCGACAGTGTGCTCTTTGGCCTTCCTCTTTTTCGTTTCCTTTCGGGATTCCAAGTTAGGGCTTGTCTCATGATACAGTTTGGTGATTTCCGTAATGTATGCCTTATCCACTTCCGACGTCTTTTCCTAATTTCCTCTCCAGCTAGAAGCTGGTTTATTCTCTCTCACAGTAAGCTGTTGTTGATGGTATCCGGCTAATGGACATTCAGTATCTTGCGTAGACAACTGTCTACACGTATGACTAATCAAGTTTTTTGATAGGTTAACCCCCTCAACTTAGATAGACACTAACTATGGTGTGAAAATGACCTACTAGATAATTCAGTGAAAAAAGCATTTTGAATGATATTTTTCACCTCTTATCGTCTCTAATGGTTGGAGGACGCTTAATTATATTGCAAATTATAAGCAGACACTTGCAATTCAAATTCACACGTTTTTTCTTCGTCATATTTATTTTCATTAGCATTTATTTCCGGATAGCTGAACAAAATTAGCGTTGTTAATTTCTGACACATCCGCTTAACCACTGCAAACCTACGTTAAAAGATTCGACGGCTGTAAATTCAACATATTTGTTAGACTGATGATATGACGGGACGACTTCGCTGTGTAGGTCACTAACTTGTCTGATCTATGTCGAATGATCGGGGGCTTACTCGAGTTATATGGGACCAAATGCTGACCGAAAACTAACTTCGAGGTCACACCTCGTGGTCAGTACTTAACGAGGTTTGCCGTTTCGTCGTATCAAAGTGCTATGGCTGCTTTGAAAACCGTATAGCAGAAGGGACCTTACTACGGAAATACATTAGTTAGAACGAGTACAGAGAAAATAGTGAAACCCCCACCACATAGGCCAGTCCATGACATACGATTAACTGATGAGCGTTAGTTGTCCTTGAATTTGACAGGGATCGATGATTCGTCCGATATTCAATGATCCAACTGCCGGATGATTTGTCTAGGGCTCGGTGATATTTTCACCCCACGGCGGAATATCCCTCTCACGTGTTTTGTAGGACAGTGTTGTTGTTTGCTGTTTTTTCGGTGCTTTTTACTTTAACTTTTATTCGAGCCTCTTGTAACCTCGTTTTAGGTTAATTAGTGGTCCTTGTCTATGGTTGTAATATTTGACTTCGGTTAAAGACTAAATTTATTTCTTAATTTCATTGTTGCATTCGTCCGGACCATTGACAATAAGGTCGTGTTCGACCAAAATCTTTGTCACGGCGTGTTTCTGCTGGTGATTGTTGGTCTGTGACTATCTAATGAAGTCTTTCTTTCAAGTCCTTGCAGATATATATTTGATTACATCGTTCCAGGAATACTTTTATTTCCAAACACTTGTTTAATAGCCATTCTTTTTTTGTTATAGAGAAACCTTTGACTGCATAGAGCAGGCTGCACCATTCTAAGACGCTTCGTACACTATACAGAGGGATGTAGTCTGATCTAATCAAATAAACCTTGGTTCGTTAGCTCCGTGTTCAAATGAAGTCAGTGATTTTAGTCATGTGGATTCAAGAGCATCGGGATCCGCACGAACTCCGTGAGCTAAAATATTAGACATGGTTATAAAATCAGCAATAAAAGGGTAAAACACCACCAGGGATACCAGCAAAGAACTGCGAAAAGTAGGTCACCATTGCCGGCACCTAGTCTTGATATCAGCCACATGTGATGTGCCGATAAGTTGGATCTTTCATTGAATCGTTTTCTAAAGATCATAAATGTGTATATACAAATGAGTATATACGTATTTTCTTCATCTACTACTGTCTTACCGGTCAAGTAATCAGTTTGCGGATCAGTGCGTAGTACGTTATGTATCAGTCTTAGATTTCGGACACTGGCCACATATTGTTATCTGAGATTGCATATTGCATATATAATACTCACAGCATACGTCAACGTTCCATCTCACAGCTAATACCTAATGCGGACTACCCTATCGTGTCATCTGTGTACGGTGACTGCTTTAACCTATTATTATTATTAATGGCTTTATTCAATATTATATTTTGGTACAATATAGAATTCTCAGCACAGGGTATTTCAACAAGTTTCTTACACAAAAAACAGAAACAAAGACAAAAAAAGAAAAAATAAGGTTTTAAAAATACCCGAAAAACTGTACAAGTTTTCAAATTAGAGACATGTTAAGAATGCAGATCATTGACTAGGTTAACTCTAACAACCTGTTCATCACAGAGTATATTTGCTATGTAAGATATTAAAGAACTTTTATACTTTTGCGTGCGTGCATGGATTTTAATGTAATTACGTCTCGTTCTACCAGAAGATATACAAGGAGAAAGATAAGAGTGAAGGGATGGTTAGTATCTAATAAAATAACACCTGCCAGGAGTTTGCATGACTTTAGATGTCTAACCACAACCATACTAATTATGACCTCGAAAGATTCACCACACACCTTGCTAACTGCCTTCAGCACCCTCCGCAATACAGCAAAGTCTTTTCTCAAAAGCCCGGGAAAGAATAATGGAGAACAGTAAAGGATAATAGATAATATGCAAGAATTAACAAATTGTGAGAGTAAATGACGAGTAATCTGTGGTGTTTGAATTAACTAATGGTTCTTTTGTACTTGTTGAATGCTCGATTTTGAATTCCAAATACAATACATTCGTTCGTGCTTGTGTCGTAATTCTTGATTCACTTGCGTAAATTCTGAGATTCCTAGTTCATACTAGAATTCAGACAATTCAAATATGATCCTGGCGTCGCGATGGAGCCTGCGATGGAAAAGTTAGATATCCATTCAACTTCTGAAGCTTTTGAGGATTACTTTGAACGGTTCGAGATCTGGGCTATGACCAAGGAAGATGCTGAGGATGTTAATACTGTGGCACATTTCCTCACATTCATCGGAAAAGAAGCATACAGCTTATTAAGAACTCTGACTATGCCGGAAAAGCCTATCTCGCTTCCTTATACAACTCTCAAGGAACTGCTGCTAGACTATGTTAATTATACAAATTTCGAATGCGGTAAAACAGGGGGATCTCGTGAAATGATTCATGAGGATATAAGAAATTCTACCACACTACTACGTCATCCCGACCCAGTGCATACTCAAGGCTAGGCAGATAACTCATTGAGGAGTTGCAATGCATTTCACGAAGATGGGCACAAGTTTGGTCAGTGTTTGTCCTGTGGCATGTTCCACTCTTTTAATTCACGTGAATTTCGTAATTCTGAGTGCTTTAAATGTGGTGATATTGGACATATTCAGTCAGTCTGTAATACTAATGTTCATCTTACTGCAACTAATATTAAGTCCTGTAATTCTGATTCTACTGAGTCGACTATTCATGATGGCCATTTACCTTTATTAACGATTTTAAAAGACAGTGCAGAGTCATATGGCAGTTCAGAGTTAAATGAAATTCAGAATTCTTGCAAGACAACAGTTCCTCATCAACCAACTTATCAGATTTCTCATGTTACTGTACCAAATGTGGCTTTTCCTAATGATTCACATATTTCTGATGAAATTTCTTACAAATCTGAGGAAAATATGTTAAATGAACCTAGTCATGATCAAAAACCTGAGGTAGTCTCGATAGATGCTGATTTTTCTAATGATCCATTACTGTGCAATGACGTTCTTGATAAATTTCATGAAAATATGTCAAAAGAATCAAATTCTGATATCATATCATATATTACCCATCTTCATAATGCATTTGGTCCTTGTGAAAAACTTGTTCAATGCAAAGCACGAGTACTAAATGACCTCGACTTCAAGTACAATTCGGATGATTTCATATCAACTGCTGTTTACCCTTATCACTAAAACAGTTCTAATGTTTACTCTAAACACTGTGAGAAATATGTTTTACATGAAGCCACATCATTCATAACTTGGGGATATAAAGATCCAACATTATTTCGTGGGGGAGGAGGGTGTTGAAAAATCTGTGGTTAGAATTCTAGATATTAATTATTTTGGTACAAAACCGACATGCTGATTGTATACAATTCCAGATCAGTCTAGTCCGATTTCGGTTATTAATTCTGATACTAATGAGCACATTCTAGATAATACATAGTTTTTATCCAATACAATGTCGGACAGACTCAGAATGAACTTGATAAGAAGACGTACAACCGATTACACACACTTATACTCCTATTTAAGCTGTGGCGGATGTGGTGTTTGGATTAACTAATGATTCTTTTGTACTTGTTGAATGCTCGATTTCGAATTCCAAATACAATACATTCGTTCGTGCTTGTGTCGTAATTCTTGATTCGCTTCCGTTAATTCTAGGATTCCTAGTTCATACTATAATTC